AGATTATATCGAGTAAAATACAAGAGTCAACATGGGCTGACCTCTATTCGGACATGTGGAAGCTCTCACAATAATGGACACTCACATGCCTATGTCTCAGTTTGTTATCTTACTGCTCCGAAATGAAATTTCGATCCATCGTACTGTAATGATTTTTATATTAGGGATCATTTTAAATACGCATTTTTGTGTCGACAAAAAAATAAAGCATACACATTTGTATTCTGGGCCCATAAAATATAAAACTCATTTCAGTGGGCCGCTTCGAATGTTGGCCCAAAAACAAAAAAGGTTCACACGTACGCACGCGCGTAAAGAGGACGAAACACGCTCTATCCACCAAACCACGTGCGGCACGTGTGCGTTGACGCAGAAAGGTCAAACGCTGACGCGGTTCCCAGGTAATTGCGCGGCAAGGGAAGAAGGAACGGCGAATCTTTACCGATGGACGGAAGATGACGAAAATGCTTTGGAATTAAGCTTAACGCTACTGATTTTTCGTCTTCTTAATCCACCTACTATCGTTTTCCCCATTCGCGAAGCATATACTTTGAGAGAGATCCCATTCTTTAACATGTTAGAAATTCAGCGAATTTCAGATTCTACTTGCGAAGTTCGATTCTGGGTGCACGTACGCACGCGCGGGAAGAATGTTCGAAACATTTGCAGCACGTACGACGACGTGACTTGAAAAACACCAAAACGAATAAGACCCAAACGCAATTTCCAGGAAGTCAACGAGTACAGAGATTTGCTTTGCTTAATTTCGTCTCCCTTTCTTAAAATGTTAGACTTTTAGCGAAATTGAGAATCAATATAAGAGTAAATCTGAGAGATTGTTTATACATTTAAGAATCTGGGTTTTCTCTATTTGGCTAAAGCTGTGAGCTTTATCTGAAAGAGAGGAGAAACAAAGGATGAATACGGCGACTGAAATTGCGATAGGTGGTGGTGTGGGAGCTGTAGCCTCTGAGATGCTGAAGCTTTTGATTGTAGAGGCAAAAATAGTGTTGGCGTTCAAATCTGTGTCTAAGGAGCTCGCAACAACGATGGAGGATTTGCTTCCGATACTCACGAAGATCGAATCGTTGCAAAAAGCTGATGAACTAAAAACTCTCAAGGATACAATCGCTAAAGCTCGTGTCTTGGTTAAGAAATGTTCAGGTGTCAAGAAGTGGGAGTTACTCAAGAAATCTTATTATACGAGAAAAGTGAGGAAAATCCAGAAGAAAATTATCAGTTTCTGTCAGGTTGAACTACAGCTTCTTCAGCTTAAGAACCAGTTGGAGTGTATGGAAGAGATTAGGAAGCTCAAACTTTTGATGAAACGGAATCCGCTGTTCGTTTGTATATGTGG